AATACCTGAATGTATGTTAAGTTTGTAAATTGTGACTGTGGAAAGTATTTCCTAAAATCAGATATAACTTACATAGCAGAGGGGGAATCCGTGGTCGAGATTAGAATATATATATTGAGAATACAGTAAGGACTAGGAAAGGCCTTTTTAGAGCAAGAGTTCTCACCACCTGTATAGAGAGCTACGTACACATTCTTGATCAGTCCTGAAGACAGAGGACTAGAAAGACAGATAAGGTAAACCCTGGCTGCTGCATCAACTCAACTTGTACTGCATACCTCCTATATATAGGAGCATAGGGTGGCAAAGATAGCAAATAATAGTATGAATGTCTCGATGGGATACCTAGGCATACAGTGCAACTTATGATGTTGAGTTTAGAGTTAAATGGGGATACAATTATCATTGAGTAAGCGCCACAGGTTCAACTCTGTAGAAAAATATAGGGCCAAATGCAAAGATTTAAAGACTTGTAATCCATAAGAATTTAAATCCTTATGTGGTTGATACGAAGAGAATGCATGAGAAGACTTTCTTGAGAGTGTTACTAAGGAATGGATCATGAGGAAGTCCTCATAAGCAAATCCGTGGAGGGTTGCCAAGCAATCCTTGTTGCGACACATATATCTCAGGAACATTTCTTCTATGATTGAAGCTGACTCTGTGACAACATAGTTCAGTGAGGTCAGATCTTAATAAGAAGCTGCCAGCAATTGCTGCTGTTACCGATTTGACCATAGGCTCAACAGAAAGACTGACCAATGAAATCATTGCTGCAGTTGCCAGAAGAGTTCTACAGTGAGCAATAGGGCTTCCAAGGCATTACTACTGCAGAAGGAGAAAAATATGAGAAAATGCATAGACCATGAGAGAAGGGCGCCTGTTTTAACTGTGGTTTATTAGATTCGTAATGCAGGATTGCCCTAATGTCCAACAAGGTAGATATATGCTACCTCCATTCTTGCTAATGCTGTATCAAATGTCGAATGGTTAATGACTTCAGCTGCTCTAGCTTGTTTAAAATATTGCAACCTGAGTTGGGTGTATGTGAGGTTGAAATTCTTATGGACAGTGGAACACTTTCGGTCTTTCTTGGTCTTGTTTCGTATTAGACGTAAAAGTGTAGAGGAGTACTTCCAGCTTTGTTTTGGCTCTGTCATTCGCCAAATGAAGATAATTGTCTCTGATCTTGGTTTGGGCTTTGTTATATTAAGGGTGGATTTAATTGAGAAGTTGTAAGTCAGTTTTGCTTGTGAAACAGATATTCTACAGTTCTGAAGATAGATCATCCAGTGTTGATCAGGCAGGGCCTGAGAAAATTGGACTGTATGTATACATACTTAGAAGGAAATAGTAGTGT